GCAGTGTTTTTTTCACTATGAAAAGTATAATAATAATAATAATATAATAATAATAGAAACTGCTCAAAATTTAAATTCAGAACTGGTTTCTTTTATAGCAAATTTCTGTCACTTCACAATCCCAATCCTTCTGGGCATGGCCCAAGCACTTGGCGTCTCTAGAGTGTATTCAGGGAAGGACCCCYTGATTCTGAAGCTYATTAAAACTGGCTCTAAAACAACAAAGGGATGCCTGAATCAGATCTTTAGACAAACAAGCTGGGCTCCTAGGAACAGCTGCACTTACCAAACAAACATGGGGCTYTGTTTTAATGATGACGAAATTGAAAATCTTGTCATGCAGGTATGGGAATGGAGGAATGGAAATGAATTTATGGGAATTGAATGAACAGCAACAAAATAGAGATATAGATGAAAGAATAGARACTGGAGAGTTAATTGAATGGATATAATGAATTTAGAAAAAGGGAGAATCAATAGTGGGAGGATTAAATGAAAGGGACAAAGGAATGAATGAAAATTCCGATGGAGAAATTAATACCAATTCATGCGTTGAATTACTGATTTTATAAAAAGAGAATGAGAAGAAAAAAAAAGCACTATTAGCCTTTGGACAAGAAAGTTCAGATATTATACAGCCAATTTTCTGAAGGTTGTCCCCCTAAAAAACATTTCCAATTATCAGGTAACTTTATTTTATATATTCAGTTTCTGCATGTAGAACATTCTTCAATGTCCATATTATAGAATTTTAAAAAATGTCTTGTAATTTCTCTAATATACTAAAACACACCTGACATTCTAGACCTCTAGATTTTCACAACTTTTAAAARTCACAGTAATTGTAACATTGGAAGTCTCTTATAAGTGGATAACGTTTTCAAGATCGGCTGTGTATTATCTTTTTTTAATGTTTTGAATTATTCTGCTGCAGGTTGAGAAAATGCTTGATACTCAGGTATTGAATGGCATTGATGCCACATTGCTGGAATGCTTACAGGTAAGATGCCTTAACAACTTTTAGTTGGCACTGTTGTCGAGATTAAGTGACATCAATCAATGCAGTTGGTTTTGGCAATATCTTAGCAATGCAAGCTAGCTTTTAAATGATACGATAGTTTTTTATTAATGAACACCTGAATAAGATCACTACAT